AAATTCTATTTCGACCAAAATGCTTTTTATTCACTCATTATCACGTTGATTTACAGTCGATTTCTTTGCTCCGTATATTATAATCATGTGGTAGCGATCGAGTATGGAAGATTGATTATCAGGATGCCGCGAGAGTAAGAGATGGACAGAGAATGGAGAGGGGAGAAGGAAAGAGATCGTGCGAGGATTCCGGCAAACGCGAGAATTTACTTCTCGAAGTGCTCTTGATGGAGCGAACGATACGAGTAGGTTATCCCAGCGAGTGTGTCATGAAGGGAATCCCGTTCCTGGGTTTCCGAGAAAATGCTGTTGAAATGCCCGATAAAATTGTCTCGTCATAAATTAACATAAACTGTGCCAATTAACTTTGGGGAAGCTGATAAAAGCGGCTCTCAGGCAGTACGCTCAGCTCGAGACGAGCAATTCGATTCGATTCGAGCATTAAAGCAGAATTCAGCCGCATTGCGCGGAACGTGTCATGGCTTTGAACTACATTTGACCCGCGATTCTTCCGCTTCTGCCGCGGATCATGAAAGCGTGACGAGCGCTTAAGTGTGAAACGGTTGCTTGTTATAAGGACAAATCCTAATTACCTCATAGCAAATATTCGAGAATGGACTTTGAAAATCGTATGACGTACCGTGAATTACGAATGACTTTGTCTTATTGCAAAAAAAAAGGTCGCACAAAGTGCAACGAACGAATGCAATACTTCTTTGCATCAACGAAACGCGAAACCTGCTCCACGATATAAACTCATAAATAAGAAAATGTACGTTTTCTCATTGCCGTCGCGAGACGCAATGAGACGCGCTATTAATAAATCTACGATATGCATGATAGAGACGCGGTCACACGAGGAAACATAACGTGTCCGTGTCACGCGTCATTATATGTACACAGCTCCGATTTTTGTGCGTACACACAATAACATCGTTCCATACAGGACGAGTTTTCGTATAACGAGAGAACTCGAAATGTCGACATGAGACAATATCAATTAACATCGATTACATATAGCGAACATTCGTCAAACATGACAAGATTATTTTTCGTTCCGAACGCGCGAGTAATCTCACAAAACGTGAATAAAAATGAGAATGATCGCTCACCAACCTCTCAATTGATCCAATCGATGATTGATTCAACCGTTGTAGGCGCCACGTGACCAACGAAAAAGGAAAAGACAACGCTTTGCGTTGCATTCTCTCTAACTCTAAATTTAAAGTTTTCTCTTTATAACATAAACCTGAAACTTATGTCGTGTCACATATACACACACATACACACGCTTTCTTTCTCTCTCTCTCTCTTTCTCGTTCGCTAGCTTCCCTCTCCCTTCGCTTTTTTTTTCTCTAATAGCACTTGCTCCATATTGTTAGCGCAAATACAATTATTAATCCTTTCCAATTGAACGGCAATTTACATAACTATTATCGATGAGTCGTAGATTTAATCTTGTTCGTTTAACTGGAAAAGTCACTTTACGAACAACAAGCGGGTTTTTGAATTGTGAAAACTTTCGTTGAAATGAGAGAGAGATAGAGAGAGAGAGAGAGAGAGAGAGAGAGAGAGAGAGAAATAACATGCATACACCAGCGCCATAGTTTCGTTCCGGACACGAGAACGGAGAAAATTTAAAATTATAACAGCTTTAAACTGCGAGCTTTAAAGTTTTCACGCTTCTTTAGCGAATCCCGCTTTTCCGTGTTTCGAACTTACCTCTCGCAACGACGGTCGACGGTATTCTGAGACTCGTGCCTCGTCGCAGAGTGACGCCGGTTCTGTCGACCACAGTTTCCGTTTCCGGTTGCAGCGTTCCGATGCGCCCCTCTCTCTCCCCACCGTCCATTTCACCGGATTAAAGAGAGAACTTCCGTGTACAAGAGCCGGCCCGGGACGGCTGACACTGTTCGACGTCGTCGTCACTACGGGATTCCGTGGATGCTTATCGACCGGCTGGTAGTCGTCTCGTGGCACGATCGAGCGAATCGGCCAATGGTAGCAGTAGGTCGCAGTCACGTGCGGCTTTCGGCGAACGCGTTCTTCAGTAATCCGCCTTCAATGTCGCGAAAGGTGTCTCGTAACGCGGCGGACGAGCTTCCTTCAGCCGCCACGACCAAGTGAGAGAGGATACTGAAATCGCCACGTTCCTCTCTTGCCGGCTTGCCGCCGTAATCCTTCTCCATGCGAGACTCTTTGGTTTCAACCAACGGACAAAACGCGTAGCTTCTCTTCCTCCTCTTCTCTCCCTCTCTGTCGGCTCGTCCCGGTAACTTTGTAGTCGTCCGATTCGAATCTGAGATCGTACGTAGGCCGACGAGAAATCCTACACTGGTTATCGGCCAGTTATTACACGCGCGCGGATATATCGCGGATATCGCGGAGAACGATCTGGACGATCTGGACTAAGGACAGATACTTCAGCGTGATACGAAACGCGTTGGCGTAAACGCGAACGAGAACGCCGTGTTCTCGTGGACCGTCGCGCCGCGCCGCGCCGCGCTGCTTTCTCTCGCGTTCGCTTCCCGTGGAACCGGAACGTCAATCCGGCGGCATTCGACGGAAAAAGGAACTCAAGTTCCTGTGACTTACTTGGACAGCCTAGCAGCAAAGATACGAGCGAACGTGAAAACTGGAGCCAACGACGAATTCGGAAATCGTTCGATTCGGAAGTCGATCGCTCGACTTGCCGCACTTAACCATGTCTCGATCACCGCAGAGAATCGGCGTCGTCGCGTTCTCACGCGAGCTCCCGCGGCTGTCGTCATACTGCCGGAGATATCACTTTCCGCGTTTACCAGCCACTCGTTTGCTCACGACTTCGCCAGGTTAATGCGTCAGTGCCGCTTTTAGGAACTCGCTCACGGGACTCGCTCTCGCAGCGAGTTCAGGCCGTGACGTACATCGCGAGATCGTGGCGACGGCGTACTCAGCCGCACCGCCAAGTTGCTCAAACAGACGTTTCTCGTCTTCCATAACGCCGAAAGTCGAGCAGCGTGAATGTGGCCGCGAACGCGAGTGCGCGATCGGTGCACCTGGCGAATGTTGCCACACGACTGCCGTGCGCGGGCCCTTGATTCAAAGTCGATGGTTTATTTTCGCCGTGATACGTCGTGCCAAAGAACTGAACACGCCGATGTCTCGCGCGATACCAGTCGCTACCAGTACAGCAGGTATCGTTCGATCGCACACGGGTCCGTACGCGAAATAGCTAAACTTCGTTAGGAGCTCGTTTCCGTTGCGTGCGTGTTCGCGAACGTTCGCGAATATCGATCATTGATCGATTTGAACGCGCGAATTATAAATACCACCAGCGCCCCTCGCTCCTTTGACGCTGAAAAGTAAGACTATTTGCATCGAGGATGGCGGCTTCGCGTTTGTTTTCGTCGAAGCTCGACGGGGCAGATAGCACGCATGTACTGTACCGATCGTATGAATCGCGTGTTACGTTCTACGTACAATCAGCTGTGTTCAGAAATGAGGGTTTATTTTCGTTATTACGCTATCGTGCCAGAAGACGAACGCCGATAGCCACATTGACGACACAACAAGGCCATTGACGCAGAGGACTCGCGTTTCTTGGAACCGCAAAGCGCGAGTTTCTTTAGGTCGATTTTTTGGAAAAGCATTTTTCTTATGTACGAAACGGAATCTTCAAACCGAATGAACGGTTTTCCGCATGATCGAGTGTATCAATGATATATCTAGAGTATTTACATGGATTGCATTAACATGATGCAAAAGATTTGTCTTCTTTTATTAAATTTCTCGGAGGAAATATCATAAGAAGTATTCGTTAGAGATGTCTAGAAAAAAGATCGATTTTTATTTGTAAAAATTGTTAATCTTTCGAAATTGGACTTCGATTTGGACGTTGTCTATTTTATCTCACAAATATGAAAAACCTTTTGTACCAATCTAATAACACGCGATTTATTATCGGTTCACGAAACTATATCGAATCGTGCAAACAAGCGGGAAAAATAGTACAAACTATAATTGACATTCTTATAATTCGATCTTACGTATGTTTAAGATTTTGTCTTAAGTTCATCTTTAGATTCGCTCCGTAGCTAATTAAATGATCTGTATAGTATCTAAAAATACACTTGAGACGATCGTAAATATAACATGTGTACTAATATACTAACTATCCTAATATCAGTCTAAAGGCCGATATTTATAGTCAAATCTTATATTTAAAATCATCTCTTTGTGTGTGTGTGTGTGTGTAAACATCTTCAGATGTTGTACAGATCATTTAATTGGCTACGAAACTACATAGTATAGATATACTATGAATAATTTTCCCAAAGCTCTTAAACATCTGAAAAATATCCTCCTTGTTTCACATGTCTTTTAGACATCTTCAAGACATACTTTAGATGTATTTTACACAGTGACATGTCGTATATAAAGTTCACTTTTAGACTTGAGAATGACTAATCAGCTGCATCTCAAACATGTGTGAAATGTGCGCAGTCATGATCGAACGGGAGCGTGATCGGGATGACAGAAAAACACAATATTAGAAAACTAACATCTCTCTTCATTTCTCTCGTTGGATCTCATAACTATACATAATTATTTTTCTTACGACAAAACTTTCTCTCTCCTCTCGCAAAGGAATTCGCGAGGCACATTTTCTCTCTTCCTCTTTCTTCCCTTTCTTCTCCTCTCCTCTCCTCTCCTCTCTCCTTCTCTCTCTCTCTCTCTCTCTCTCTGACCCACACACTGATGCACACACGCACACGCATTCCATTATATATGCTTCGTATTATATTATATTTTACCTTTACGTATCACTGGTACTGATGTACTCGATGACTTATCGAAATCGTTACGCGAGTGAACAACATGGAATTAAATGTCAATAACGACACGATTTCGCCCACGTTGCGCCGGCCTTGTCAAGATCATACTTTTATCTGCGCGCGAAGGTAGCTACTTTACAAAATAAACAGAATAATCCTTTAACACGTTCCGTACCGTGTGTACCACCGTTCATACGGCACGTACACAACACGATAATTATTCTATATAAGCTAGTTACTTATCGATCAATTAATCAATGAGTATAATGAAATATTTTATAATACCTGCCTTTACTCAAAATATCAAATGGCCTGAATGGAAAGTCGCGCAAAAATGGCTCAGTACGGAACGTATTAAGTGCCAAGTTGCAATATCTCAAAAACACGATGTGAACTCTGTTCTACAAACAAGCGATATTTCTTACCGCTGATACAACAAAATAAATGTTAGAGTATCTCTAGACCATGTCTCTCAAATTTTCTTGCAAAAATAAGCAGCTTATTTTTCTTCAAAATAATGATTTGTAAGTGTCCTTCTGTGTTGTGAGAAGACACGCACTGCAGTGGCGAGAAAAACATTTTTATCGCTAAATGGCTTATAATGGAGGCGCATCGGATGTATCTTTAAAATATATATTAACGATTTTATAAAGAAAACAGATCTTTTTGGGAGGAAGCAAACATATTTTTTGTATACAACAAATACAGGTACCGAGTCGCACGTCCGATACGTCCCCGACGCCATTCCGGCGATGATACGAAATTCCGAAGATGAAGAACCGAGAAATCACGTGGACAGCAAGGAAATGATACAGACGCTATTGCACGATCCTCACGACAAGTATGCAAGGAGCTGTCAAGTCTTTCGGATAGCTTATCGTGCACGTACCGCGTCTTCCTGTCGAAAGCTCGAAACCTCGAGCGCCAATTCTGATCACGTAGCGGTGTCGAAGCCAAGAGCCGTGACGAAGCTGAAGAACCGGTCGACAAACATCTTTTCATGGGGGTCGCGCTCCCTTGCCACTCGGGCAATTTTGTCATTGGCGACACGAAAGGCCTCCAGGAGCAACACGTGAGCGGCAATCACCGGATCATCGCGCGCGCCGTTGTCGCGTACAAACGACACGACTGGCTCGTCGCGGTGTCGGGCGTCCACAAGTTCGTCCTCTACATAACGGCCGTGTCTCACATACATTGCGGTGAGGCGAATGAGCGTCTGCGCGAGGAACCTGCGATGACCCCAGAGCACCTCATTGTGCTCAAACATAGAGATGAGCCGCTCGTTCACGTAACACTCCTCCGCCCAGTACGACAATGCCCGGAGATAACGCTTGAGCTTGTCTTCGTAAGCGTTACGATCTTGCCGTCGCATAGACTCGCGTAGACAGACCAAGAATTTCTTGCGAAAACCGTCCACGGCCCCAGAGTCCATGTAAGCCAACAGCCGTTGTTCACGGTCGCAAGTCTCAAAGTCATGTTGACCGTTCGGCTGGTTGCCGGCAATGTCACTCGAAGCCGCTGCCGATGATGACGACGACAATGACGATGACGACGACAACGACGACGACGATGACGATGACGAGGACGAGGACGACGACGACGATGACGACGACGACGACGACGACGACAACGAAGAAGACAATGATAACGATGACAATGACGACGACGACGAGGCCGTCGCTGAGTCCAGCACGCATCGCCTCAGCAAGAACTGTCGATAGGAATGGCCGCTGTTGTCGGATACATGTCGTTGGCACCAAGCGAGGGTGTTCCTCCACTCGCTCTCAAGACTGGGGTGCGTGAGACCGCGAGACTTGCGGAGCGTCAGCAGATATCGACGGTAACTCCACGCGTGGTAATTGCTTGCATAGCGATCGGCACAGGACTCGACGAGCTGCACCTCGATGCAGAGCGGTGAGTATGCGGGCAGCGGGTCATAGGGACGCGACGAGTCCACCTGTTTAACGTCCAGCACCTGCGGCATTAACCAGCGTCGATAAGTGAACGCCTCGTAGGAATTCGGCTTGTGATAGAGCACTAGCCGTGTGAGCAGCAACTCCTCGCATGGGTCCAACCGATAGCTCTGCGCCAACTCCCGCCGCATGTTCCACAACATGATGACGTTCGGATTGATGAGAAGGGCACCCAACAGCCATCTCGCCACCGTTCTCGGCTCCGCGCAGCGACGACGGTTCTGCCGGAAGTCCAACAGCCGGCGATATACGTAACAGTAGAGTGGCTCTATGCACCATGATTCCAGGCCCAGGTAATTGAGCTCGTGGTACACAGGCGATCGGTTCTCGTTGTTCTGCGCCGGCACGATCTCGAAGCTGCTTCTGGACAGACATAAGTCGTGAACGTCAATAATTCTCTCCCTTTCCTCCGCCCTAGTCTTCGTGTGATTATAAGAAGAAAGAAAACAAGTCTCCGTCTTGGATGTAGACGATTTTATCTGATTAATTTGTGGTTGTTTTTCTTTTTTCTCTTTGCTACGCCGCGATGTAGGAAGTTAACTCGAGTCATATCCAAATTTCGCGGTTTTTAAAGGCGTCATAAGAAGTGCTCGCAACTACGCAACACGCAACGAGATACGCGTCTCTCCTTTCCAGTGGTGCGATTCTTTAACTCGTTATTGGAGTTAACGACACTTTCGTTATTGTTGCGCAGCTTTTGTATACCGTAGAAAAGCTGCGCAACGATAACGAAACTGTCGTTGACTCCAATAACGAGTTAAAGAATCCGCACCACAGCTGTGCTAATTACCGTGAGAGCTCGCTACCGGAATCCTAAGGCGACACAATTCAGCAGGCAATTATTTTGTCGCGTCGATCGGTCACCGCGTCACGGTAACCAACGCGGAGAGAACCCGATAAAAATAAGCGAGAGCGATTGAGCGAATATATGACATTACACAAACGTGACTAAAGACTTCAAATGATCCGCGGTTATTGATGATGCCCGATGCTGCTCGGATAGTACTACTTTACCAACACTGGACGCGACCGATTTTGTTTACCATGTGCATCTCGCTCTCATCCTCATTCCTCTCACATGCATTCTCTTTCTAGATTTTCCTACATCCTTCTTTTAATTGAAAGTTTGACACTAAATTAGGTTATAACTGCGTTAATGAGGCAGTATTTCCGTGTTACCTGATCCTGGAAGGCAATTACGAATCTACTCTTCCAACGTGAACTCGTGAAAAGTGAACACTTTCCATATGCCTTTGAGCTAAAAAAATCTATACTTTTCATGACTTCACGTTGTGCAAGGAAAGATTTACCATCAAGCCGCTCGATCGTATCAAGAATAACCTGACCTGACTACCCTCAACCCTCAAACATATATACAGTTGGTATGACTCTTGACATTTCTTGCTCACTTTATGTACATATAAAAAATTACGTTCGCGTTTAGTCGCATAAAGCGGGGAGTACATACTTTTACTTAACACATAATGCATAACGCATAGTATGGCACGAAGCAACGCACATACAAATGCGCATAAGATGTTTATGATAAAAGGTTAGGATATTTGTAATATGACTGGAAGAACGATCTATTGCCCATGTGTTTCTGATGAGCTATGGCTAGAATATGAAAAAGATATTTTGTATGAGAAAATAAGCACCGTAATATTATCGTCAATTTGAGAAATTTTAATTAGGAGTACAATAAAGAGAATAATGCATGCGCGATACTTCTCTCTTATGACTAACTTAACCATAAAAATTCGTCCTTATAAACTTTTCGATACTTTCTGTATTATGTTTTTTCTAAACTCTGCTAGATCCCCAGAGCGAAGAGTGGGGATGGAAATTAAAGGCTCTGCTTGGTTCATTTGCTTATGTATTCTGCATTATGCGTTCTGCAAAAGTATGTGCTTCTCGCTTGACTCTCTTTCTTTCTCCTCCACCCCCCCTCTCTCTCTTTCGGCGCTTGTTAAGACGAATTTCTCAACGCCATTGTACCATAAACTGACAAACTAGAATAAAAATATAGAATGTAAAGATGTTAAGTAAAAACAGGGACAACACGAATGTTGTCTCAACTACCAAAAATAATACGTTCACCAATCACAATTGATTATTGTTGAATCGTAAAGAAAAACAATCAACTGCAGTTGATCAATTTGCTTACTATTCACGTTTTAAACGCCCATTCTTCAATGCCCATTAAGCCTTTAGTCGCTTACTCAGTCCAATATTTTTTATCAGAAAATATTTTCCACAATGTCTTAACGGTCTGGAATCTGGCGCAAGTTCGTTTAAGGCTCAGGAATTATAACATTGGACAGCAATGTGAAACGTTTTTAGTCAGAAATTAAGTCACAGTTTTAAGCTTAAAACAAAGGGCTTACTACTTATTCATTATTTATTATTATGAGCTGAGACTCTCTTCCGATTGCGGCGTACTACCGTGTACCGTGTGCGCGCATAATACAAACATATAATATACGGCCGATATGTATGTCTCGAAGTACCTGCGATGACCACGATTCTCGATCGTATGTACTGCGTCCGCGCAAATGCATGCGGCATGAAAATTCTGGTGATCCTAACGACACGAGTGTCAAAATGTAACACGCCGAGCCGCCTGTATGCCCATATATGTGCTATGCTTCCCTCGCAAGACCCTTTCCTAACAACACGGTATGCGGTTAAGTCGTGAGAAATTTATGTTCGGTCGCGCCGGCTAATTCCGAAGAAAGCAGTGTCAACTCCGGAAAATGGAGTCTGCGTAAAACACGGGATTTAGGTTAGGGTTCCCTGTCGCGACTTCCACGGCAATTCTCAAGCACTCTTTCGACGTGTCTATCTTTTCCGGCTCACCCGCGTCGTTGCAAGTGAGACGAATGTATATAATATAGCGTTCGATAGGCCAAAAAGAAAAAACGAACAGTGAGGAGAACTTCAAAGGAGAGCAGCAGGCCTAACGTTACGAGACGTCGATTAGCCGTCAATGATAAACCGCAGGGGAGGATCGAAATCAATAAAATCAATGTAATGTCGCTCATGTTGATATGCTGCCTCACTGTTGCGCAGCATCGATACGGAATTCCCGTGTTTAATCACAGAGACGCGTAAGGGCTTTTTTTGCGTAACTATGACATCGAAAAATCAACCGGAGTGTCCCACCAATTTTATCATCTTTCACAGTGAGATTTCGAAAGCTGGGACAGGCATAAATAAACGACAAAACACGCCCGTACAGTGGTCGACGCGGCGAAGGACATCAGTCCATCGTGAGAGGACACAGAGGGAGGGAGGGAGAAAAAACTACTTACAGAGTAAGATTCCTCTTCAGCACATTCTCGATGTCGATGAGGATCTTTTCGGCGGCCGGGAACGATGCGTCGTCCAACATTGCGAGAGTCACGTCACATCTCTCCGGTAGAATATACTAATCGTCGTCGACGACGGCCACGCCAGTGATCGTACCACCCTCGCGCGTACCTTTTTCTCTTCCTCTTTAATCTAGAACCTAATAGCTCTGTCTCACTACCATACAGTATGGTCCGATGCGGCGTACAACGGTGCGACACTCCGCTCTGCGGAAACGTTAGCGAAATGCGACGGATACGCTTGATTGCGCGCGACTTGAAGTTGGCTATGGCCGGTATTCATAGTCGGATCTTATATTTAAGACCGTCTTAAGTTTATCTTCAAATGCGGTACAAATCATTTCATTGGCTATGAGGTATCTGAAAGTGAACTCAAAACGGTCTTAAATATAAGACTTGACTATGAATATCGGCCTATGAGTCGACCGGACGCGTCGCAGTCTCAGCACGTAGACCAACCGACGGGCGGGAAATTCGTGACCGCGTTTGCGATCTGATTCACAGTGTAGGGATATATTTGTGACTATACGTACACATATCGTTTGAGGAAATAATGGCAAAGTTCTGTTGCTTCTTTTTCAGCTGCATTATATGCTACATTCGTTATTTTATTTAATATGAAATAACTGTATATTCGAAGTTCAACAAAGAAGAAAGGAAGAGAGAATATACTAGAAAGTACAAAAAGTGCAGGAAGAATGAACTTTAGAATAGGGAGAGTGCAGACGTCGAAACATAACCCCTTTAACGGAGTAATCGAGATGGAAATTTGAGTTTTGCTGTAGTGCGACGTAATAACAAATACGTATTTCTCTTTCAGTAGTTTATTGATAATTTATTGAGAAAGAAAATTCACGAGTGAAGGGAAGCAAATATACGTTCTATTAGTAGCGATACGTAGTGCTCCATGCGAAAGGAAAGAGATCTTTGACAACTCAATGAAAAGTCAAAATAATGGATAAAATTTTTAAATATATTCGTGCAAATCGATTGACGTTGTTTAGAACTTTAACAAGCGATCAATGCATACAGTAAATAAACTAATATACTTTGTTAGATAGAGGTTCAGTTATTTTAGTTAGTTATTTCTTTTCTTTTTTTATTTTATTTTACGCATGTATGCACATGTATACATATGTCTTTTTTTAGGACATCAAATGAATTATATATGGGGCAATATGTACCTATAGTTAACAGAGTGTTAGCAGCACAGGAATATACAACGTAAGCTTTATAATCTGTTTCTTTAGAAATGATACAGGATCGATACTCACATAAATATTTTTGGATGAACAGATAAACGAGCTTATGATGCAGATGAACTATTTTTATATTCTATAGGGCTTTTCCAGTTAATGCCAGGTATTTGTACAGTGGAAATACAGAAAATGCAGTTTGCACACTATCTTCTAAACAGAAGCTGCTGATATCTAGTCAACAAAAACGCAATATGTTCATTCAGACGCAAGATACACCAAATCCAAATAGTTTAAAATTTATCCCAGGGGTATCTGTGTTAGGAGAAGGATGCACAAAAGATTTTCCAAATGCTAAAGATGCATATTGTTCACCACTTGCTAAGATGTTATTTCGTATAGAGGGAGTGAAAGCTATTTTCTTTGGACCTGATTTTATCACAGTTACGAAGCTTGATGAAGATATAGAATGGAAATTATTAAAACCAGAAATTTTTGCTACTATTATGGATTTCTTCGCGAGTGGTTTACCAATTATGGACGAATCTCAACTCGCAGCAGATACACGTATGATTTTTTAATTCAGTATCTATATAAGATAGCAAAGAAAAAAAAACTCATTTTCGTTTCTTCTTGTAGAAATTAGTACAGATGATGATGAAGTTGTTCAGATGATAAAAGAATTGTTGGATACACGAATACGTCCTACAGTACAAGAAGATGGCGGTGATATAGTATTTATGGCATGTCTTCTTTAAATTCTATGAAAAAATATAGATTTATAACTGATTCATATTACTTTAGGTGAAACGAGTAAATTGTTTCCATCATAGATACTTATTTTATTTTTATAGGGTTTTGAGGAGGGTATTGTAAAATTGAAAATGCAAGGTTCCTGCACAAATTGCCCGAGCTCGGTAGTAACATTGAGGAACGGTGTGCAGAATATGATGCAATTTTACATACCTGAAGTACTCGGGATTATACAGGTAGAAGATGAGACAGATAAAATTTCGAAGAAAGAATTCCAGAAATTCGAACAAAAAATCAACCAGAAAGAAAAAAGTAAGGACCAGTAAATTTTGATGATAATTATCAGCAGCTAATATGTATATGAGTAGAAGGAAATCGTGCACAGGCATTTTGGAGTAATCTTGTGCATGGTAATAAAATGTATATTTCGACATTATCGTTCGCAATATATAAATAAAAGAAACAAAAGTTTAGTCTCGAAATTCAGTTTTATATTTTTACTACAAAATACTTATCGAGACACGCTAGATACAGAAACCTGCCAAACGCGAATGGTATTGTCGGAGTAACCAGCAAACAAGGTCTGACCATCGGTAGACCACGCAAGTGATAAGCACTGAGGAGGTTCCGCCTTGCTGGTTGCAGACACTACCTCGGGTTTTAATTCCTCGACCATCTCCTTGGTCTCCAAATCCCAAATTTTGATCCATGGTCCAAAAGCAGCGCAGAGCCAATAACGGTTAGGGCTGAAGCACAGTGCTGTAATGATATCATTATGGTCCAAAGTATGCAAATGCTTGCCATCATTCAAGTCCCAGAGCATAGCTTTACAATCCTGCAAATAAAAATATATAAATTTAGATGATCAACTGATATTCGATTAAATGCAATGAGTGCAGGATTTAGAAAAAAAAGATATATATATATACAAACACACACACACACACACACATACCTTGCCACCAGAGGCACAGAGTGAGCCATCAGGCGATACTGTAACCGTATTTAGATATCCAGTATGACCGTTGTGATTGATCTTTAGTTTACAATTCGTCAAATTCCAAACCTGCAAAACGTACCGATGATAAAGTAACACTGATGTTTGAATTATGCAATTATAAGTAAATTATGTCAAATATCAGTCCCATATCCGCATACACTCATCAGATCTATAATTAGATCTATCATGAATATCACAAGAAATGTTCATCATTCTTATATTATGCATTTTATATTTCACACTTGCATCTATCTGTTATGAATATATTTAACATCTGCACATTTACCTTTACAACACGATCCCAGCCTGCGGAAACAATTATGGGGTTTGCATGGTTGGGAGAGAACCGTACACAGCTGACCCAATCTGTGTGTCCATCATCTTGTATGGTATACTTGCACTCAGCCAATGTATTCCACAACTTAATGGTCTTGTCTCGTGAACCAGAAACAATCTGACGATTGTCCACAGAGAAAGCAACGCTCAAGACATCCTGCCAACAGAAGTAAATCTTACAATTGATTAAACATGCAACCAATATATTATAAAACCAATTTGTCGACATCAATGCAATACTTACAACATTGCAGATTTAACATCCAACACTTAACCTCTTCTACTTACTCAAAGTAAAAAAAAATATATAAAAAAAAGCTTCAGTATATCTCATATTCCTTGCATCTGATGTAACAAGGGTAAAAATACGAAACAACAGATACATTGTATGTAGAACCATGCGAGCTCTGTATTATATTAAAATCACACCTTGGTATGATCTTCAAATCTTCTAGTTGTACGACCTGCTGCCAAATCCCAAAGGCGTAAAGTTTTGTCCCATGAGCCAGACAGCGCATAATTACCATCAGATGAAAGGACCACGTCGCTTATAAAATGCGAGTGGCCGTACAGACGCTTCTGTGGGATACCATAGTTAGCTTCATCACGTGTCAACTTCCACACAATCAAAGTCTTATCTGAAAGGAAAAAAAACAATTAGTGATATAATGATAATACTATTGTCACTATCAACAGCTCACTTCTTCATTAATTTATTCCGTATAAGACTAGGGAAGAGAGAAAAGATAGAAATTATGGAATACATGGGATATAACATGCAAAATGTAAATCTGTTCTTTTCAGCTGAATTAGACTGCACTTTGTGTTAAAGCGTCACTAAAATAAAACAAATATGAAACAATTGCGATAAATAAGAAAGGAATAAAACAGTATGGCATTAATAGAGCTAAAAAGAATAAACCTCGTATAAAAGTGGGAATTAGACTTTGAAGTTATATGTTTTTGCATAGCATATGAAAATTATACATACGCACTCGATCGTGAGTTGAAATAAAAAGAAAGGTATGAAAGAATGAGAACAGTTTCGAAATAGTAGCCTTACCACGTGAGGAGGATAAGATCATATCCGGATATTTCGGATTTGTAGCGATTTGTGTGACCCATCCATTGTGGCCACGAAGCGTGCCTCGTAGTTGTAAAGTCTCAGTCATCTTGAGTAGCTTTCGAGCACACTATATCCACGATGCAAATGGATTTCCTCGTCCTGCCGCTACACAATCAAGCGTCGAGCGAAAAGAAATGTCTCCCAGTAACCGCGTAGGACAGTGACCATTTTAAAGGTGGGGATGAACGCTAGTCGAAAACGGTGAATCGATGCTCGATTTGTCACGTCCACGAAATATAACTATCTAGGGAATTCAAAATATGAGCTGCGTTCCGAAATTCACTATTATTATATTAAATATTAAAAATACATAGTTTGTGTTACGTATACTATAGAATTTCAGTACTGGCAGTGAATATCGGAACGCAGCCATAGAAAAAAGCAATAAAAATCAAGGATTTACGTGGACAAATGACGGGGTGACTTCACATTCTTGTCATCTTGCATTCATTAGGTTTATCACGGAATCCTGAAATCTGGCAGAAAATTGATAAATTCAACGCAAATGAATCAGAGATACACGATTTCTCAGATAGATGATCGGAGCTCGTATTCTTGAAAAATGTCGTACAGTATTTCATGAATATCACTAGATATCACGATTCTCAGGCAATTAAAACCAGCGGCACACGGTGCTTGTTTTCATGCTGGATTGCTTGCTGGATAAAAATACTGCGTTCTGATTGGTGCATTTCCGAAGATGGATGAAAATACTGCGTTCTGATTGGTGCATTTCCGAAGATGGATGGAAATGCACCAATCAGAATGCAGTATTTTCATCCAGCAAGCAATCCGGCACAAAAACAAGCACCGTGTGCCGCTGGCTTAAGGGTTTGTTCACAGATATAGTATATCTAGATTGCGCGTTCTCCCAAACTTCAAGAGTGCAGGTATAACCCTCGGAGAAAAGGAAACATTCTGTTTTTACTGTTCTCTCTCGCACAGTCCTGGTGGAAGGGGAATAGGAGCGGTAGTTATTGTATAGCAACTGCCTCCCCTATACTCCTTCCATCGGGACTGTGTGAGAGAGAACGAACAGTAAAAATAGAGTGCTTCCTTCTCTCCGAGAGTTACATCCCCACTCCCCGAACATGCAGTCTAGTGATCTGTTCTTTGTAGCTGCTGAACTAGTACAATAAGCTAGAGTGAGAAAACCTATATTTGTCTCACTTTAACTTATTGCACCAGTTCAACAGTGCAGCTACAAAGAACAGACCATAGATATACTATGGGCAAGAACACAGGCTTTTGCATAACATATAATATTGGGTGAGTGCAAAAGTTCGTGCGGAGTTTCAATAGATGGAGTTATAAGCGTCGCAAAGTGTCATTAATACTTCCATCTACATATTATATAACGTTGGAAAGGTGACGTCTTCAGCTGTTATTAAAAAAAAAATCATTTGTTTTCATATAAACTGCTTCGAGAAATATCACTTTAAAAATGAGTATCGATAAGGTGCATTTACGGCATGTTATGCTTTACGAGTTTCGGAAGGGAATAAACGTTGCCGCAGCCGTAAAAAACATTCAGGATGTTTATCAGGATGAAGCACCAGCTAAACGAACTGTGGAAAAATGGTTTGCTAAATTTCGGCGCGGAGAATTTAACCTTGAAGACGAGCCACGCTCTGGTCGACTTTTTGACATTGATGACGATGTTTTGCATACTTTAGTGCTCAATAATCCGCGAATTTCAACAGAAGAAGTTGCTACAGCACTAAACGTTGACCGATCAACCGCTTTTCGGCGTTTAAAAAAGATGGGATTCGATTTGAAGCTCGATATATGGGTGCCCCATTTGCTGACCGAGAAAAACAAAATCAAGCGAATTTCTGCAGCCGTTTCTTTACTCGGGCGGCTCAATAACGAGTCGTTTTTGGATCGACTAGTGACGGGCGATGAGAAATGGGTCCTCTACAACAATGTTCAGCGCAAACGGACATGGAAACAATCAGGTGAGCATGATGACGCAATGCCAAAGGCCAGTTTGCACCCGATGAAGGTGATGCTCTCTGTTTGGTGGGATTGCAAGGGCATAATCTATTTCGAGCTTCTCCCCGCTGGCGAAACGATTGATTCGGACAAGTACTGTCGCCAATTAACCAATCTGAATCGAGAAATAAAAGAGAAACGTCCGATTTTGTCAAATCGCAAGGGAGTCGTCTTTCATCACGACAACGCCAGACCACACGTTTCGAAAAAGACGCTGCGCAAACTGAAGAGCCTGAAATGGGATGTCTTAACGCATCCACCGTATTCTCCTGATATCGCACCATCTGACTATCACTTGTTCCGGTCATTGCAAAATTATTTAAATGGAAAAAACTTTGACTCTTTGGAGGCCTTAAAAAACGGCGTCTCTTCGTTCTTCGAATCTAAACCGCGCAGTTTTTATGATCGAGGCATCCGTATGCTGCCAGAACGTTGGGAAAAGATTATAGAAAACGATGGAGAATATATCATTGATTGAATAAAAATTTTTGTTTGCCTAATCACTGTGTGACTTTTACTCACAAACTCCGCACGAACTTTTGCACTCACCCAATACATAACACATAAGAGAATAAACCAATTAGTTTTCTTCATTTCCCTCCTCAGGACAGAAATGAAGAACTCTGATTGGTTGATTCTCTTATGCGTTGTGTATTATGCGTTATGCAGAAGTCTGTGCTCTGGCCTTTAGTCTATGGGTTTGTTCCAGCAGAAAGAAACCTGAGAGCGGTCAACGCGGCATTTTCTGCGACACCGATTTTCCACACTGAGAAAGGACGCCATCTGTATCTATTTTGAGAGGGGAAATATGATATTACATCCATTTTCAGGTCTCCGTGGTAAAATCTGCATGTGGTGGAAGTCCATACTACATCCACTTTCAAGCGGTTTATGTCCGTGCTACGATCACAGTTGCCACCTCTATGCCAGACTTTGCCAAGAGGTCTAAAAAAGTGGAGGGGGGAAGCAGGAAAAAGAAAAGTACGTATTAAATATTAAATCTTCGAATACATTAACATATTAAGTTCAAATTAAATATCGTGCAATACTAATAATCATTATAAAATTTACTATTATTTATATTTTAATGAACATACGCACTAGTATTACATAGTTATAAAAAATGTTATGAAAAATAACGCACCGCCCAATAAAATATTTTAATATATTTAACATATTTAACATAATTTAATATATTTAACATAATATTATATTTAAATTAAATGTACAGGGTGTCCCCCAATTAGCTGCCAAGCCAAAATGTGAAGGTAAATTGGTTTAAAACAAACATAAGTCTCATAAATACCATTTTGCAAGAATCACAATAATTATCGAATTATTAATTTCAGAAATCTGACGAATGAGCGCGCATTCAGATGGATGATTGGAGAAGCGTCGCAGCCTCTCAAGTTACAACGCGTTCCAATCGAAAAGGTTTAGATACTTAAAGTGGTAATAAATTTCACTTTCATAATCGACGTCGTCGCCGTCGACGTCGTCGTCGCCCGCGAGGGCCGCGTTCCCGCAGCCGTCGCTTTGTCGCCTAGCCCCACTCAGAAAACACCAGAAACTTCTACATTCTGGAATTTTTCGAAAAAAAATTTTGCAATCTTCTAAAAAAGTTCTAAAAAAGTTTCTAAAAAAGATTTTTAGAAGGTTCTGGAATTTCTTAGAAGTTTCGAGAATTTTTTTAGGAGGTTCTAAAATATTTGAAAGATTCTAAAACGATTTTGAAGATTCTAGAATGTTCTAGAAAATTCTACAGTCCACGTGGACAACGGGAATGTAATCAGACGTCACGTGAAACGACGACCACGTGGCCGGTGACGACACAATCTTCTAAAACATTCTGGAATATTCTAGAAAATTTTAGAAACTTCTAGAACGTTCTATAATCTCTACCGTCGTCGACGTCGTTGACTGGCTCGGTCGCCTTGCGCCGGCGCCGCGTCCCCGCGGCCTCATTAGCTTCGCTACCACCCGCATGGCCGCTTCTCCGTTGCTTTGTCGCGTAGCCCGATCGACTTGGCCCAGCGGCCTCACCAGCCCCGCAATCAGCCGTGGAGCTGCGTTTCCATAGCCGTCCCTTTATGAAAAAACCCTCAATTTTTGGTATTAACACTCAAAAAACGCTTAACTTTGGGTGTTAAACACCGATAAAAAACGCTCAACTTTGAGTGTTATATACCGAATAAACGCTTAATTTTGGGTGTTATACCCCGAAAAAACACTTAAATTGAGTGTGATTTCGGATCGTCAATTGAAGGTTACACCTAAATGAGGGTTAACGCTCAACGAAAACCCTCAAAATGATACCCAAGAACACTCTCAAACACCCAAATAAAACCCTGAAAAGGAAACCTGAAATTAAATGCACCCAAATTTTGCAATAGATGGCAATACACACAAATGAAAGCATATGTTCGTGAAATCTTTGTTTATTTGTTGTTTTCACTTAAGAACTTAAAACTAAGGCATGGATCGAATAAGTAAATGGGCTAAATATATTTTCATTTAACTGTATCATATTCTTTTTGATGGTGTTCGTTTTCAGTGTAATCGTAGAGTTAACCATCAACTATAATACTCGAATGAGGTGTAATACTCGAATGAGAGTATATATACACTCACTGCGCAAATAGTAAACATTAGGTATTAAATATATATGTTTAATGTCCTACTGAGAAACTACGACATTAAATATATATATTATGTATTTAATACCTAATGTTTTTACTATTTGCATAGTGAGTATATATATATATATATCTTTATTTGAGTATTACACCCAGTTGATGGAACACCATCAAAATGAATGTGTAACAGTCAAATGAAAGTATATTTAGCTTATTTAGTTATTCGATTAATACCTCATTTACAAGTTATTAAATGAGAATACAATGAATAAACAAGGGTTTCACGAAACATTCTTTCATTTATATATATATTGTCGTCCACTGCAAACTTGAAATATTCTGGAAAATGAAGAATAAAAGACTAATTACTCAATATTATATTTTATTCAAAATATGAAAATGTCACATAAAAACAAAAAATACAAAAGTTCTCATTAATTTCAATTTTCACCAATTAATTACTTTCATTTTTTGGCCTCTAGAATCACCAAAAAAAATTGGCATTCCGATTCTCGACATCGACCGGTCAACAATATCGACGACGACGA